GACGACGACGACGACGACGACGACGACTGTGGGGTCCTTGGTGCTCTCTGAGCTTGGTGGCTTTCTTGCAGATGTTTCATGACCCAACTAGATAACATCATCAGTGCTACAAGGGAGTGGAGTTTGGTTCTTTCTAACACTGAAGAGATTACGTAGTTGAGTCATGAAACATCTGCAAAAGAACAACCGAGTTCAGAGAGCAGCAAGGACCCCGCTGTCCAACCCTGAGCTACAAATATTCTCTTCTATTGACAACCTCACGGCATGTATTGGCTTTCTGCCATCACATTTAAAACTGGATCCGTGTTCACTACAAGGTGCTTGAAACCATCTCACTCTTCTCCAGGACAAAGGCAGAGTTGAGCCCAGCCAAAGACATTTATGCACAGAAGCAAAATCCTTGGTAAAAGGAGACGCAGCATTCAGACATTCCTGAGTGAAGACTTCTTACGTGCGACCCACTGCGGTGGATTGGGAAGATTTAGGATTAGGAGCCGGGGAAGAGATGCAACTCACTTTTCCTTCCCAATCACATGGAGTATGGATCTGAAAAAAGTCTTTATTTGAGCAAGGAAGGCGTTCCAGACACTGGCCTGATCCTTCATCTGAAAGTAAAAGACGAGAAGCGTAAGACCCAGCTTGACTGGCAAACATGAGACCTAAACTCTTTCTTCCGTCTGGGGAGAACCAAGAGACAGAATAACAGAGCTGGAAGGGACCTCAGAGGTCTTCTAGACCAGTGGTAGGCAACCTTGGCTCTTTTATGACTCGTTTACTTCAACTCCCAGAATTCCTGAGCCAGCATGGCTCAGCTTGGAAACCTCTCCCTTTCTCCTCAGCATGCTGGCTCAGGAATTCTGGGAGTTGAAGTCCACGAGTCATAAAAGAGCCAAGGTTGCCTACCCCTGTTCTAGACTAACCCCCTGCTCAAACAGGAGACCCTATGCCAGTGGTGGCGAACCTGTGGCACACGTACCAGAGGCAGCAGTCAGACCCCTGTGGGCACGCACGCACGCCGTCGACCCAGCCCTGCCTCCCCCCGCGGCCCACTCACCAGCAGCCCCCCAGAGGAGAATTGCCCCTGAGCGCAGCCCGCAGGGCATGACAGCCAAACAGCGGGGACAAGACTCCGCCCTCGCGCCCCCTCATGCACAGTTGATGCTGTGGGGCGAGGGCGTGGCTGCCATGGCACTGTTGAGCTACCTGGGCGATCTGCGGCGGGCCATGGAGGCAATGGGTGGCCCTGCAGGTGGGGTGAGGGCCGGTTTTTGGGCACTCAGTCTCTAAAAAGTTTGCCATCACTGTATGCCTTTCCAGACAAGTGTTTGTCCAATTTCTTTTTGAAAACCTCTAGTGATGGAGCATCCACAACCTCTGGAGGCAAGTCGTTCCGCTGGTTAATTGTTCTGACGGACAGGAAATTTCTCCTTACTTCTAGGCTGGATATCTTTATTGGTCTGCTATTTTAGTGACAATAAATCTGGAAAGCAGATACTCTTTCACAATCTCTCAATGGAATCTTGTTTTATGAAGAGAAGGATTATGTGGGACATGTAGCTGTCTTCCAGTACTTGGGGGATGTCATAAAGAAGAGTGGATTGACTTATTCGCTATGACACCAAATAAAGAGCAATGGGTGGAAGCTTCTTCAGGACAGATCTAACCTAGAAATAAGGGTGTGTGTGTGAAATTCTGACAGTGTGAATAATTAACAGAACAATCTGTTTGATCTTCCATCAGGTGCAGAGTTTGTCTGCCAGTTGATGTCAGGGTAGTTAAAATCCCCCATTGCTTTTGTGGCGTGCTTCCTAAGTAACTTAATTAACTGACTAGCAAAAAGTTCATCTGTTTCTTCTCTTTGGGTTGGATGGCCTGTAGCATACACCTATAGCAGGGGTCTTCAAACTGGGCCCTTTTATGACTTGTGGGCTTCAACTCCCAGAATTCCTCAGCCAGGCACGCGTGTTTAGAGCCGTGGTGGCGAACCTATGGCACGTGTGCCACAGGTGGCACGCAGAGCCCTCTCTGTGGGCACGTGCGCCGTCGCCTTCAGCTGGGTTTTATAAAACCTTTTCTGCCACTGTGGGCAAAAAAAAAAAGTTCAATCAATCAATCAATTTCAACTTTTCGCAGGGAAAAAAAAAGATCTCGCAAAGTTGGAATTGATTGATTGAACTTTTTAGTCCCACCCAGTCTGCCGTGACCACCGCAGCCACACCCACCCAATGGGCCACGCCCACCCGGCACCCAACGATACATAAGTGGGTTTTGGGTTGCCGTTTGGGCACTCGGTCTCTAAAAGGTTCGCCATCACTGGTTTAGAGCTTTGCTTTTGGACTTGCAGTAAACTGTGGGAATTTGGAGGGGGGGGAAGTTGGATCAATAAAAGGAAGTTAATCCTTCACTTTGGCTGTGTTGCTTCCGTGCCCAGTCCTGGGTCAAAACAAGCGCTGCCTTTGCAACCAGTGGGTCTCTAATCTTTCAATCAGCCTGAAATCTTTCCTGGCTTTGAGTGAACATCTTAATCTGAACTGGGACATTCGGTTCTCCTTGGAGAAAAGAAAGTTACCTGAATAATGTGTTTCTTCAGGACACTTGGTGCATTCCCGAGCCCCCTTTTCTGAGTAGGTGTTTCTTGGACAGATTTCACACATGGAGGAACCTGATTTGTTGCTAAAGGTGCCCGGCTTGCAGGGAAAGCATTCAGACGTGTAGGCCACCCCTGCAAAACAGAGAGCACAGACAGAGCCCATTTAGAGAATGCAAAACCACACGGAAGTAGGTTCCAATTGCAATAACGGAGCTGGGTTCATGGGGAGGGGGCATAGTGCTGATTGGATCAATATTATCCTGATTTCAATCCCTGTTTTGCTACAAAATTCATATACAAAATCCAAAATTCTCTGGAGCTAGCAGAGATGGCTAAATTGATTGTATTGATTAAATAAAATAATGCAAATACTTTTATTGCTGTGTGGAAACCACTTCTGGACTTTCTGCTTGAGGTGGGGAAAAAATGAAACTTTGATTTTGGGCTTTACCAATTAGATAGATTCGATGTTTATTGAAATGGCTAGTTTATACTATTTTGTAAAAGTAAAGTAAAAATAAAGGTTTGATGTTGATGTTCTATTTTACTACTCACTTTTCTATTCCCCTTTCCCTTCCCTATCTTTCCCGCTGTTTACTTTTGTATTTTCACTGTATTGTACATTATAAACTAATAAAAACGTATATGCTAAAACATCCAAAATTCTATTTACCTAGAACATTCTTGAATTAGCCAAAGGTTTGTTACAGTGTCTGTTAACCTGACAGGAGCAGAGAAACACCAGGCAGAATTAAATTATTTGGTTTTGGGAGAGGTGCATGCTCAAGTAAGCCCTTACAGTTTTCTATGTAAGATTTCAGAAGTGGCTTGCTGTTGCCTCCTTCTTAGGGCTGAGAGGGTGTGGCTGGCTCAAGGTCACCCAGCTGATTTTCATGCCTAAGGCAGAACTAGAACTCCCACTTTTCTAGTTTTTAGCTTGGTGCCTTACATAAAACTGCGTATTTGATATTATCCCTTTCAAATCCAAGGCTTCTGTTGTTGTTGTTAGTTGCGAAGTCGTGTCCGACCCATCGCAACCCCATGGACAACGTTTCTCCAGGCCTTCCTGTCCTCTGCCATCTTCTGGAGTCTATTTAAGCTCAGGCCTACTGCTTCAGTGACTCCATCCAGTCACCTCATTCTCTGTCGTCCCCTTCTTCTATTGCCCTCAATCTTTCCCAGCATTAGGCTCTTCTCCATTGAGTCCTTCCTTCTCATTAGGTGGCCAAAGTACTTGAGTTTGAACTTCAGGATCTGGCCATCTAAAGAGCAGTCGGGGTTGATCTCCTCCAGGACCGACCAGTTGATCGCCTTGCAGTCCAGGGGACTCGCAGGAGTCTTCTCCAGCACCATAGTTCAAAGGCCTCAATTCTTTGGCGCTCAGCCTTTCTTATGGTCCAACTTTCACAGCCATACATTGCAACTGGGAAAACCATGGCCTTGACTACACGCACTTTTGTTGGCAGGGTGATGTCTCTGCTTTTTAGTATGCTGTCTAGATTTGCCATAGCTTTCCTCCCCAGGAGCAAGCGTCTTTTAATTTCTTGGTTGCAGTCCCCATCTGCGGTGATCTTGGAGCCCAGGAAGTTAAAATCTGTCACTACCTCCATTTCTTCCCCATCTATTTGCCAGGAATTGAGAGGGCCGGATGGTTTTCTTAATGGGGTTTTCTTAAAACCCCATGGACAGTACCAAGGCTTCTAGTAATGCTTTTAATACATGGATTGGACCTATTGTGCATCACACAGAGTCTTCCTGGAGTTGGACAGTCATAAGAACTCCAATAAATAAATATAAAATAAAGCCAAAAAAAAATTATTTGGGATGTCAAGCAAAATTCTTTCCCTCTTCGTATACATTCTGCCTCTGTACTAAGTTTAAGAAAGACAGAGCCCTTTCCAGTAGTAGGCAGTTTCCTTTAATTTGTTAAAAACAGTGGAGGATGCATTTAAAAACCGAACACAAATAACATACTGACTTTGTTTAAAAGGCTTAAGACCACTATTAAGTGTACGGACTCACCTGTCTTAGACTAAAACGGCTAAAGAATAAAGTTCTGTGAATTCCTTTGACACCTAATGATGCATGTCTTCTCCTGCACTCAGGGCCAGCTTTCAAGTCACTCAAAAACTTGGCAAGAGGTTTTCAAAAGAGATTGAGGAGAGAAGAAAAGAAATTCCTGGGAGACAGGCATGCAGAAAGTGCAGCTCAGGGCCTTTACCTCTTTTGTGGGAGCAAAATGTGTGCCTTTCCCAAGACATCTTTAAAAAAAACGCTTGGTGTAATCCATTTCGTCAACTGCAACCAACAAGTTTGCAGATCGCTCCCATATTTTACCACTTGCCCAATTTACAAATTACACATAATTTAAAAAACTATATTTTTCCCACCCAGTGCATTTTTTTCTTGTTGCTGTTGTACAAAAAAGCAACTGTTTTTGCTTAATGATATTATTCTGTCTATTGTTCTATAAATCACAAGTCGTCCTCGTGAAGGTCTTGCTTCGGTGTGAATTTTAGTTGTTCACTGGCCCAAGTTCTTAATCAATAAAGCTACTACTTACCCTGTGGATTCAGTTCTATCCAGCAGGTGTCACTGTTTTCCTAGTAATTAACTCATGCACAAAACTGCTGCACTAACCCAGCTAGTATACATTATTTTAAAAAAAAATGCCACTGCAAATATTTATTTATATTTCCTATTTCTTAACCTCCCAGCTCACTCAGAGTGATATAAGAGTGGGAAAGTAAGAAAAAGAAATCAGAAATCAGAAACTTTGCATTTTCATTTTAAGTCTTCCCCGATACGTCCCCCATTCCAGCTGCAAATAGAAAGATTCTCACAAGCTAAAGCTTAATTTCTGCAGTCTGCAGGAACATCGTAGGGATGCACTGAAAATGGTCACCTTCAATTGTGATGTTTTTCACAAGTACGGGCTTCACCACCTGCGACCCCATCAGTATCCCGGTTGTTCTCCAGTACAAGATATTAGTTCCTGACTTCAAGGTTACCTGGGAAGAAAGGAACACAGTTTAAATATACATTTTCTTAATTAGTACTTCTTCAGTTGGTAAATTTTCATTTTTCCAATGTGGGGCAAACACAATTCTTGCTGCCATTAATATGTGTAGTATCAGATACCTGCAATCTTTCTCTTAACTAGCTCCTATTATTCCTAACAAAAATAATTCTAGAGTGCGTAGAAATGGATAGATTGACTTTAAAGATTAAAGAGAAAGAAGACTCAGTGTACTTTAGAACGTGGGATAATTCCTATCAATGGCTAGAAAAACGAGTCAGAGAGAAAGGAATGTGATATGTAACTTTGAAGATATATTAGCAAGAAGAAGGCTGTTGAGTGATGAATTAACATATTGCTTATGATAATTAACTACATCTAATATTGTTAGTTAAATACATGTACCCAGACGTTATGCTGTTTGCTAAATATTGAAAATGTTATTTGGAAAAACCCCAACCCCAACCCTAACTCTAACCCTAACCCCGACCCCACCTTATCCTTAACTCTATAAAAACTAATAAAATCTAAACAAAAAAACCCAGTATATACAGACAGTCCTCAACTTACAACAGTTCATTTAGTGACCGTTGGAAGCTGCAACAGCACTGACAAAAGTAACTTACAACCATTTTTCACAGTTACATCCTTTGCAGCATCCCCAGGGTCACGGGATCAAAATTCCGACACTTGGCAACTGGCTTGTATTTATGACGGTCGCAGTGTCCCTGGGGTCCTGTGATCCCCTTTTGAGACCTTCTGACAAGCAAAGTCAATGGGGAAGCCAGATTCACTTAACGACTGGATTACTAACTTCAACAGCTGCAGTGATTCGCTTAACAACTGTGGCAAGAAAGGTCATAAGATGGGGCAAAAGCTCACTTAAGAACTCTCTCACTTAGCAACAGAAACTTTGGGCTCAATTGTGGATGTAAAGTGAGTAGCTGCACCAGGCTGCCTTTAGAACAATTAACCAGTTAGAACCGTAGTGGCGAACCTATGCATGGGTGCCAGAGGCGGCATGCAGAGCCCTCTCTGTGGGCACGTGCACTGTCACCCCAGTCCTAGGCCTTCAGCTGGGTTTTATAAAACCTTTTCGCTTTAGGCCTCCGCCGCCGTGTGCAAAAAAAAAAAAAAGATTCAATCAATCAGTCAATTTCAACTTCTTGCGGGGAAAAAAAAGATCTGGCAAAGTTGGAATTGATTGATTGAACTTTTTAGTCCCACCCAGTCTGCCATTACCACCGAAGCCACGACCACCCAATGGGCCACACTCACCCAGCACCCGACGATACATAAGTGGATTTTGAGTTGCAGTTTGGGCACTCGGTCTCTAAAAGGTTCGCCATCACTGAGTTAGAACAATTAGAACAATTAACCAGTGGAACAATCTGCCTCCAGAAGCGGTGAATGCTCCAACACTGGAAGTTTTTAAGAAGAGACTGGACAGCCATTTGTCCGAAATGATATAGGGTTTCCTGCCTGAGCAGGGGGTTGGACTAGATGACCTCCAAGATCCCTGCCAACTTTATTATTATTATTATTATTATTATTATTATTATTATTATTATTATTATTATTATTATTATTATTATTATTATTATTATTATTATTATTATTATTGCAAACTAAGCATGGAAGAGACTGGATGTAAGAGAAAGAGGTTAAGATACAATTAAAAGTTATTTTCCTGGCAGGTATAAATCTCTGACTACTAGGCAAATGCTCGTAGAAGGAAATATTTTTTAAAAAAAAAAAATAGAATAACAACGCATGGAGATTGGTGTGAAGTTATGAGTGCCCACACCTTGTTTTGCTGAAGTGCCTTGAAGGAAGTGGCTGACTAATGGTAGAGCCAAACACAGTGACAACCCAGTTTTAAAGCACATGCACACAATACAATTGTCCCACCCCACCTCAAAGCACAAAGAAAAGGAGTTCCTTTTTTAAAGGAAAACCTCGCCCTGTTTACTCAGCGCAAAAATGTTTCTGTGTGCGATAAGGCATTGGTGTGCAGCTAAAAGGGACTACCTCGTTCATTCAAGCATTTTATGCAGCGTTTCCCTCTGCAGTTCTGAAAAGTAAATACACGCACACACACACACACACAAAATCTCAAAATAGAACCGCTTTCTCTTTACTGTGGATATGGAAATTTGGAGTCCTCTAGGAGACTGCTTATAAAAAAACTAAAGCAGCTCTCCTTTAAACATTGTTTTAATCGATCAATTACATCATTCAAAGGCACAGATTATTATTATTATTATTATTATTATTATTATTATTATTATTATTATTATTATTATTATTATTATTTTAAAAACTAAGCCACAGCAGCTGGCCAATTTTTGTGACCAACCATAACATCTTGCGGCTTAGTGTAACGCATAAGGCAGTGATGGCGAACCTTTTAGAGACTGAGTGCCCAAACTGCAACCCAAAACCCACTTATGTATCGTCGGGTACTGGGTGGGCGTGGCCCATTGGGTAGGCGTGGCCCATTGGGTGGGCATGGCTGCGGTGGTAACGGCAGACTGGGTGGGACTAAAAAGTTCAATCAATCAATTCCAACTTTGCGAGATCTTTTTTTTTCCCCGCGAGAAGTTGAAATTGATTGATTGATTGAACCTTTTTTTTTTTTTGCACACAGCAGTGGAGGCCTAAAGTGAAAAGGTTTTATAAAACCCAGCTGAAGGCCTAGGACTGGGGAGACAGCGCACATGCCCACAGAGAGGGCTCTGCGTGCCACCTGTGGCACGCGTGCCATACGTTTGCCACCACGGGCTAAGGCCTGGTCAATTAATGACTTCTTTAGTCCAGGTGAACCAGCAGAGTTGAGACTATTCATAGAATAACAGAGCTGGAAGGGACCTTGGAGGTTTTCTAGTCCAATCCCCTACTCAACCATTTCAGACGAACGGCTGTCCTGTCTCTTCTTGAAACCTCCAGTGATGGAGCACTCACAACTTCTGGAGGCAAGCTGTTCCACTTGTTAATTGTCAGGAAACGTCTCCCTAATTCTAGGTTGGACCCTTCTTTAATCTGTTACTTCTTATCCTGCCCTCAATTCAGTGGTGGGATTCAAATATGTGAACAACCGGTTCTCTTGTGTGGGTGCCGCTTCCGGAAGTCCATTCTGGGCCTGGACAACAAAAAATTAGCTACCGGTTCTGCCCAAGTGGTGCAAACTGACTGAATCCCACCACTGCCTCAATTCCTTTGGAGAACAGGTCAACCTATTCGCTATTCACCAAGATTAGCCAAGTTGTGATTAATAGATTGTCACAAGTTTGCTGGTAGTTACACAGAACCAAGGGGGAAAAAAGGAAAGGTGAATAATATAGAAAAACATAAGCTTTCAGTCATGAAATAATAGAGACCCACAAAAGGTTTTAAGATCAAAATAATTTGAGTTCAGAACATCTGATCACAAAATTTGTCACTGGGAAAGCTCTGGAACATTTTCAAGCCAGGGCACAAATGATCAGATCCAGACATAAATCATTTTGATCTAGGAATATAGGCTGGGCCACTTTGGGATGTTATGAGCTCAACATAGTTTGTCTAAAAAAAAAAAAAGTCTTGCTTTGAAAGATCAACAACTTTCAACTAAAGCCACACAAGACTGCACTTACGGAATAGGAACCCCATTCTCCATTATCTGTCAATTTCACCCATTTATCACTGGTGGAGTCCATTTCTTGACACTGGTCATTTTGAATCTGATGATTAAACAAAATATTAGGAGTTACTAGGCTGTCAATCAAGGCAAACAAACAATTAGAATTTATGCAACCTTTACTTGCAATTCCGTAATCCTTGCCCTGTCATAAAGTAAGCCAAGGGTATCCTCACTCTATTGCAGAATCAGAGAAATTATGGGTGGCAGTTGGGAACATAACAGAACTGAGTTTGCATAAAACATTGTGTTGTCCTTCTTCCTAGGTGAGATCACAAAAAGATTGCATGCCTGTTCTAAGCCAAGCTTTGCTAAATACAATGAGATTTCTTTGCTGAGTAGCAGCCTTTGTGATTTTAAGATTCACGTGAGGTTTGAACCTGGGTCACACTGCAGGAGCCTAAAAATCACTTTACAATAAGATCCTTGACTGATATTATTCAGTAGACAAGCTAGTAACCAGTTTGGCTGGCTTGGGAGAGACAATATACTAAGCTGGCTTGGGAGAGAAACTATACTAAGTTACGGCATCCATGTGTAACACTTTTGTCTGTGTCATTTAACAAGGATAAATGTGTGTTGAAAGATAGTGGGATTCTAACTGCAAATGGCAAAATATAATAATGTTAGGCAGAATGTGGATTTCACAGGTAACCACAAGGCTGGAATTGGTAGAGTTTCATAATCCTAACCCTAGCCCTAACCACTGAAGTTATACTAACTTTTTTTTTAACCTTTTCTATGGACCCTCTTTTGTGTGCCCATGTACATTCCCACTGACTTTTCTCCTTCAGATCAGATCACTACTGAGGGCCATGTAGGATGGATGTTGCAATACATGAACTATGGATTTCGTAACCCTAAGGAGATATTGGACAGCCATTTGTCTGAAATGGTGTAGGGTCTCCTGCTTGAGCAGGGGGTTGGATTAGAAGACCCCCAAGATCCCTTCCACTCTTGTTATTCTGTTATTCAAGTACTAGGAATTCCATCCTACATGGCCCTCACCACCCAACTTGACTCAGAATCTCCATGATGAGACTCTTCAGATGTTTGAAGAGGAACATCTACAGGTCCCAAGCTGATATTTTCAGTGGCTTTGTCTGCTTAAGAAAAGCAAACACTGAAAGGTTCTTGATTCAAATACTCAGAACACTACAAGATTCTCATTTAAAAATGATGAGCAAGTTCCCTTATAGGTATCACAGCCAGATAACTGCAGAATAAGGATAGTAATCAGTGCCCCGATGAATAGGCCCAATGTTCTCTTGTACTTAACTCAAAGTCCACATTTCTTTGATCGTACAGGATGAGAATATTTTTTCCAGACATGAAAGGAAATGCTGCATTTACTTTTAAAGCGGTAAAATATGGACTAGGTGCAGGGGTAGGCAACCTTGGCTCTTTTATGACTCGTGGACTTCAACTCCCAGAATTCCTGAGCCAGCATGGCTCAGCTTGGAAACCTCTCCCTTTCCCCTCAGCGTGGCTGGCTCAGGAATTCTGGGAGTTGAAGTCCACGAGTCATAAAAGAGCCAAGGTTGCCTACCCCCTGGACTAGGGGTTATCTGAAGGACTCTTTCTCCTGAGATGAGATAGAATTTCATTCTGTGCCAGTGTCTGTTTTAGTCACGATTTGGTTAAGCCAAAGGTCTGGATTTCCACAAGTCACCTAGCCAACACAGCATGCTGCACAAACACTATCCTGGCTGTTCTTTTGACCAGAAACTGAAACTGGTTGCTGCTCATGAAACGTAGAGCAGAACAGCTGGAAAGCTACCAAGAATGTTTTGATCAAAAAACATTCTGAGCTCGGAGTGACTTTAGGGCTCTGATAATGAGACTGTGCTTCTGTTTTTCTGCCGGGAGGAAAGAAAAATCAATCAGCATCAGACCAGCTGCTTGTTGCATCTGGGAGCAAATTTGTGTTCTGTAATGTAGCAGAATCCCTGATGGTGTCTTCCTTTAGATGTGAAGAAACTGGAAGGAGAGACATGAAAGCCATTTTTCTACAGGGAAATGCAGTGTCTCATCTGCCAAAGGTGGGAGCTGGCACAAGTCCCGCAGGGGGAAGGAGCCTTGGGTTGGCAGGATTATTTGGCCAGGTTATCCTGCCTGTATCTCTTGAGTGTCTCCAACCATTCTGCAAATGTTAATTAAGGCTGAATGGCCAATGTGACAGCCACCCTTTGGGGATCTGAGTTGGCCACGACAGTGATTCATGCCTGGCACAAAAGGAAAGCGCAGGTGAGGCCAAGACTTCTGTTTTGGTTGCGCCGTCTATCCAGGTCCGTGTCAGCCATCACAATTTTGCTTGTAACGCAAGGAAGAATTGAGAATTTCAAGCCTTTGAGGATTTAGCGATGCACAGAAACATCATCCTGGGTTCTACATAACTGAGCAAGAACAGAAACATGGATTGCAGGATCCAATCTGGGTCAGTCACCGGGACCAGAGGTTTTCTCTTCCGAGCTTTTGGACTCCTGCTGGAGCCACTTTTCAGGGAATTTCTCTCTAGCACTGCTCCAGCACAACTCCCACAGCTCGGAGTTCGATGGGCTCCACAAGTCCAAAAGCTTAGAAGACAAAATCCCCAGTCCCGGTGACCGACCCAGATTAGATCCTGCAACATTATCCTGGGACACGTAGATTCGCCTTCATTCGTGAGAAACATGGATTGTCCAGGGAGAAGTCTTAGAAAGAAGTATATCCCTTCTGACATTCAGTAAGTTAACACAGTAAGTCACGTTGAGTAATATGACATGTTTATGGTGATCTTACTGAAAATTCCAGGACCATGGAAGACGGGGGGGAAAGAGGCAATGGAAAATCACTTCCATATTGTTGCCAAGAAAATGACCTACCCAGTTCAACCAGAATCTCTAAACCAGGGGTAGGCAACCTTGGTTCTTTTATGACTCGTGGACTTCAACTCCCAGAATTCCTGAGCCAGCATGGCTCAGCTTGGAAACCTCTCCCTTTCCCCTCAGCATGGCTGGCTCAGGAATTCTGGGAATTGAAGTCCACAAGCCATAAAAGAGCCAAGGTTGCCTACCCCTGCTCTAAACCATCTCAACCTGGTCGTGAGGCACAAGAGGAACCAAGCCAAAGACTTCAACTAGAGCACCCAAATTCATGTGAATTTACCCTCAAAGAGCTGAAGTCTAGAATGTCTGCCTTAACAAGGTTACAAGTTGCATTAGTCATTAGGCAGACCACCTTTCCATTAGCAAAGCCAATTTGGTGGGCATCAAAGCCTCAGAGATCTTGGACAATTGCAGCCAATCAGATCTCGCACTTCTGAGTCAACTAAGGAGTCTATCTTATTGTGGGGAAGAATCATGACTTTGTAAGCCCTAAAGAAAACACAGCTGAGAACACCAATAAACTATCTTAAAATTATCCTCCGTTTGGAATATCGTGTCTTAGTTTCCATTGACTCTATAAGGTTGATTTAGTGCACAAATTTCCCTTACAAAGAATTCAAAGAAGATGTTGTTATCAATATACTGATACTCAAAGAAGATGGAACCGGATTTCTTCAGGTGGACCGTGTAGATTAACGAGACGGTGCAGTCGTCCCTATTGGACTCAATGTAATTCCCACGAGGGGTCCAGGAAGATCTGGAAAAATATAAAGAGAAACAAGCTTTATTTGAGTTTAGATTTACGACAAACTGTTAACTTATAGGCCAGTGATGGCGAACCTTTTAAAGACCGAGTGCCCAAACTGCAACCCAAAACCCACTTATTTATCGCCGGGTACCAGGTGGACGTGGCCCACTGGGTGGGCGTGGCTGTGGTGGTCATGGCAAATTGGGAAGGTGTAGCCAAGGTGGACGTGATCACCTCAATGTTGCTCGTGGGGAGGGATGCCTGTGGGGGCCGGGCAGGGTTGGAAGAGATCCAGGGGGTCTCTGGCAGGTGGGGCGGTGGGCAGGAGGCTCATCCTGCGGGGTGAGGCGAGGCAAGGTGAGGCAAGGCGGGGGTGCCATTGTCACAGGGCAAGGTGAGGCAGGGGTCAGGGCGGCTGCTGCCTGACACCATCAGCCCCTGCACAGAGAGGCCAGCGAGCGCATGGGTGCTGAGATGCATCTGGCCATGTGGGACCTTGGTGAGTTAGCAGGCGGCTGGTTGAAGAGGGACGATTGCCATCTCTGGGGCATGGTGCGTGTGCCCACAGAGAGGGCTCTGAGTGCCGCCTCTGGCACATGTGGCATAGGTTCGCCACCACTGTATATAGGCTCTTTATTTATGTATTTATTTAGCGCATGTCAATAGGCTGTTTAATAAACTACTAGAATTTGGGAAGGAAGGGGGTTCCTTTTTTTAAAGAAGGCAATCGAAAAGATTTTTCATAGATCTATTTTCTTTTTGATACTGTCCATGGGGTTTTCTTGGCCAAAGGATATTGGAGAGGGTTTCCATTTCCTTCTCCAGTCAAAGCTATGGGGTTTTTTTCCCCCAGTTAGTCACGTATGGTTGAGTGTTGAAAAAAAATGGATGCTTTCGAATTGTGGTGCTGGAGAAGACTCCTGAATGTCCCTTGGACTGCAAGGAAATCCAATTAGTCAATCCTGAAGGAAATCAACCCAGACTCTCCTTTGGAAGGGCAGATCCTGAAGCTGAAGAGAGAACTCCTTGGAGAAGACCGTGATGTTGGGGAAAGATGGAAGGCAAAAGGAGAAGAGGACGGCAGAAGAGGAGATGGTTAGATAGGGTCATTGATGCCATGAATTTGGGCAAACTCCAGGAGACGGTGGTGGGATGGGCACCCTGTCCTCCAGGGGCTCCGAGAGTTTGCCCAAATTCAGGTTCATGACACTACCTTCCTTTGCTAGAGATGCTTAAATAAAGACTGGATGGTGACCATCAGTCAGGAATGTGTAGATCTCTGCACTGGACAGAGATCAGACCAGCTAGTTTCCAGTTCTTCCTAACTCTTGCATTCAATGATTTTGTAATATATCCTCACACTCTTTTACTGATCTCTAGGAGAATCTTGGCCTTCTGAATGCTAAAAACCTACACCAGATTATTGCCAGGTAGGTGTCTATTTACATTCTCTAACTGGCATCTTCTGGCTACTGTTGGAGCCTTGACATACATAAGGAGAGGAAGGGACTAGTTCTCAATGAGATCCTGGAGACCAGAAGACCCATAAGATTCTTACTTGGCACAGCTGTCGGCTTTACTCTCGGCTGAGCCAAGAATGCTGTCCATGTACGTTGCTACATTAGAGAATCCCGCCGGCAGGTCATCCCATTCATCAAATTTGATCCCGCTTCCCAACGAGTAAGTCCCTTCAGCACATTTACTGCAAACCTGGTTCTTCATTTCCAGATATTCCCCAGAAGCACAAGAGAAAGCTGAGAAGGAAAACATTTACAAATCATTAGAGGCAAAAGGCAGTTGTTCACTGGACATTCTAACAACATTTTGTAAACGCATTGATCACACTATTCGCTTACAACAATGGTAGCAGCAATTCGGGGAATTGCATTAAATTGCTCCATAGACCTGTGGGAAGAATCCAGAGAAAGAAACAATATTTTGGGAAATATTAAAAAGGCAGAATATATTTCCCCAAAGGATTTTAAAGGCAGAAACCAACCCCCCCACCACCACCATGTCTCTCTGCCCCAGACAGAAACCAGGTCTGCAGAAATGCAGATGTGATAATCTTGTCAGAAAGATTGGAGTCAGGAAGCTGGGATTAGAAAGAAAGATCCCTGGAATCAACAATCCCTCACACCAAAAAATCCAACAGTCATCAGCCACAGCCCCAGGGAAACAGGATATGACTTTTGGGACATAATAGGATTAACCCACCACCATCAGAATACCAGAAAGGCACACTCAGACTCAAGTCAAAGTTCATGCCACAGGAACAACTCCAAACAAAAGCTCAAGAAGGTGTAAAAACCCACCACTCCCTACTACATGTGGTCAGCTTTCCCAGAGCCACACTTCTGTCCGGCTCTCCTCTTTGATTAACGACAACCTTCTTTCTAAAGCAGTCTCCATTTTGATTATTCCCAGCTTGGACTGCACTCTGATGAAGAGTTTTCCTTCAACAGACCTATCCACCCGTTTTTTTCATTCAGGGACCTTCATGTTTTAACTATGTATGGTAGGGAATGGTTAGGGTGAGAAGGGGCTGGTTCCAGACCTCATGTTCTCTTCTTACTTCAAAGTCACTGAAAGTGAAACAGCAATGCGGTGAATTTGTTACATGGGACAAACATTTTCCTGCTGAGGTTTGGTTTAGTTTTTAACAGTTTGGATAGTAACTTGTTACCTGTTGCATGGCTGAAGTTGTGAACTTTGCCACCAAAATCTCTAAGGCAACCAGAGAGAAGTCATAACATCTGGCTAGAGTTATGGGGTCCCTGTAGCTGGTTTATACAAAAGGTGGCTTGCTTTTTGAAGCTCAAAATAAAAATATTTTGGTATGATTAACCAGAATTTATTCCTTGTGTTCTAACACTGCAGGGGAGAGAGAGAAGGAGAAAGAGAAAGAGAAAGAGAAGGAGAAGGAGAAGGAGAAGGAGAAGGAAGGAAGGAAGGAAGGAAGGAAGGAAGGAAGGAAGGAAGGAAGGAAGGAAGGAAGGAAGGAAGGAAGGAAGGAAGGAAGGAAGGATCCTACCAACATTCTTTAGGTCATCTTCTGATCTTCTACTCATAATTCATCTACAAGAGAACATGCAATTTCCATAATGTTCTTTTCTTTACAGTGTTTATCTGTGATGGGCCTCTTATCAGGAGGAACTACCTAGGAGTGGAAAATATCATTTACATGTGTGCCTTCTGACCAAACTTGACTTTCAGGTTTGACCACAATGCACACATTCTCCTAACTCATTACTGACCTGCAGCAGAGAGGAACAGAATCTTTATACATACATTCAGCTGAACATGCAATGAATTAGAACCAAGGATGGTTTTAGGCCACTGATAAAGTTCTCCGCTGCTTCATTAACATCCTTTGATCCCTTGGCCTCTTCTTTCCATAATCCAGGGCTGTGTGTTTCTTCCCTTAATAGTACACAAGTCCATAAGGAGGAATTGCTCTGAGGATGCCAGCTATTGCCTGGCATTTAATCAGCAGCTGATTGCCGCTAATAGCAAAAGAATCACTTTGGATATCTGGAACCACTGGAAGATTTGATTTGTAACTAAATTTGTTATTCTCTCAGACTCTCAGCAAGACTTCACACAGTACAATTAGCTGGGTTAGCACGGTGTGGTGAATACACCTTCTGGGCTTCTGATGACTGCCTGGGGAGACCAAGAATACACACCTGGTTCTCAGGTGAGTTTGCATCAGAGATACACCTGATAGTGGTTGCTACGCTGCCTTTCATGAAAACGTAATCTCGTGATATTTCTCGTCTCCCTGAAAAACAAACCCTCAAAACTTCCCAAGAGCTTCAGTTTTCCCCCAAAGGAGAGTACTGGAAATGTTGCTGGCATTTCATAGAATATAAACAATAAGATCTGTTTTCCATATGGACGGATTGACAATAACGATATTATCCATTCAATTGTGTCCCAACTCTTGGCAATTCTGTGAGTCAGCTCTCTCCACATCTTCCAATCTTGCACTTCCAATCTCTGACTTGTTCTATGTTCTGGCTGATGTCAGCTTTGATGGTTGGTTGATTGATTGATTGATTGATTATGGGCCATCAAGTCATTATTGACCACCTGGCTTTCTCCATGCTGATCTGTCCCGAATCTCGAATCTCGTCGTTCTGGTTTTGCAACAGGCAACTCCCATAGCCACTGAAACATGAGTCTTTTTCAATATAGTTATGTTCTAAAAAGTAGAATTCTGCAACCTATATCAATCATGAAAAGTACAGGGTATACTTTGGTCCAGTGGTGGGATTCAGGTAGGTGAACAACCGGTTCTCTGTGTGGATGCTGCTTCCGGAAGTCCATTCAGGGCCTGGGCAACCAAAAATTAGCTACCGGTTCTGCCGAACTGGTGCGAACTGGCTAAATCCCACCACTGCTTTGGTCCTGTAAAATGACAATCAGCAGATCATCCACCCTGAATGATGTTTAATTATTTAAGTAGTGCTCTAATTTTCCCCATTCTTGTACAAAATGAAAATCTTAATCATTTTATTCACCATCCAACATCAGGTTGATTCCTTTCTTTACATACTTAGTCCAGTCAACCACTAACTCAGTCAAGTATTATTAATGTCTCCGGGGACTCTGAGTGAAAAATCAGTATTTTTCAAATATCTCTAGGAAGTAATGGAGGGCCCATGAACCCTTGTGCCAGAAGAGTACTGGAATTCTTTTAAAAATATGTTTTATTAATTTTTTAACATGATCACCTTAATATTCGGTAGACAGTGCATTGTCTGGGTTTACATTTAACAAACATTCACTAACAATTAAATTCTATCGTCTATAACCCACCTAATAACTTTACTTGATTTCCTCTTTTTCCCATAGCGTTCTCTTTTACCAGCCTTAAGTTAATACAATTCTTATTGTTTTAATAAATGATAATTAAGCATAAAGGTTTTCTTATCCGGAGGATCTGGTCCATGACTCGGCGGAAAATCAGGCGGCGGCTTGGGAGACAACTGCCGCCGCTGCATTAGACCGAGTCGTGCCCTTGCGGCCTCTGACCCGGCCTAGATCTCGACTGGCTCCCTGGTTTACCGGGGAGCTGAGAGAGATGAAACGCCGGAAAAGACGCCTAGAGAGCCGTTGGAGGGCCAG